GCTATGATCGCACTGGGCTACACTGCAGCCTGGGCAACAGAGCAAGCCCCTGTCTGCAAAAAAATAAAGAATAAAAAATAAAAATAAAAAGAAGAAGAAATACATGTAATTTTAAAAAAGAAGAAATGCATCTAATTCTATATCATGACACAGAGCAAGGTTTTAAAAAATATATATTTTAAATTTAATAAATGATGTTAAGAAAGCTGGATAGATATATGAAAAAATCGATTAAACACTAGGTAAATTTTAAAATACTAACGAAAATTATTTTTAATGACAGACTGAATCTTTTTACATTGTCAAAGAGAAAGTAACATTCTAAACTCTGAAATTGCTAATAGCAACAAATTTGACTATGAAAATGTAAAACTAAAATAAATAATAGCTAAGAAAAGAATTTGGAAAAATATTTGAATCAAGTGGAATGAAACATGATTCATCCTAAATATATAGTTTGTACAAATTAATAAGAAATACATAGATTATAATAAATATGTGAAGGACATGATTAAAATGGTTCACTTAAGAGGAAATAAATAGATTTTCCATCTTATTTATAAACAAGTGCAAATTGAAATGAGGTACCATTTTACTTCACTGCCTGTTACAATGGAAAATATATGTTACGATGAACATCTCTAAGAAGACTGTGTTGAACCTTATACTCTCATACAATGCCAGTGACATTCTAAACTACTAATCACTGTAAGCATTTGTATCAAGCAATAAAAATTTTCATAGCCTTTGCTACAAAATTTGTATTTCTAACATATATATGTTACATGACAGAGTCCATAGCATGTTATAAATACATATAAAAATAAATATGTATAAATGCATATTTACATGTATTTATAACATAAATACAAGAGTATTTATGTTATAACATAATACAATAATACATAAAATTTATATTATGTATTATTACATAATAATAATACATAACAATACATAATATTTATAACATAAATACAAGAGTATGTTATAAAAACAGTATAAATCATAAGTGCAATTATTCATTACAAATTTCTATAACAGTTAAAAATATTAGAAACATCCTAAATATCCATATTTAAGGGTTTAGAAAATTAAGCAGCATAGACTCATGTGGATTTATATGATATTGAGAATACTGTGTACACTCTAATTACAGATATGACTTTGAAACAACTGTGTAAAAAATGTGAAGGATATCTAAAATGGAATATTTAAAAATAGAAAATCTAAAAATAATAAGATTACAAATGAATACTTTTGAAAATATCCTTCACTGGCTAAGTTTGATTGTGTAGCAGGTCCAAGATGACTACTTCTCTATTCTGTAATGTGATTAGATGGCTTTTATGATTAAAAATAAAAAGGCAAATACAATTTACTTAAAATGTTAAGATTCTTTGTACAGAAAAATTAAAATTGGAAAAAATAAGTTACAAGAACTTAAATATAACCTGTAAGGGGGGCAAAAAGAAACCTACTCTCGAAAACAATTTAGCCTGAAGCATTGGATATTTATTTAAAGTATCTCTTCTGTTCTCAGGCTTGTGCTAATCACCCTGATGGGTAGAGAGAAACTCCTCCTCGCCCTGAGAATTTCATAATCCCATAGGCAAGGCAAGACGGAGCCACGTAACAGTCGCCCTGGTGGCTCCAGCAGTGCAGAGAGAGGAAGTCCTATTAGGGATGGAGGTCAGAGAAGGCTCCCAGGGATGGGATGTGTACACAGCCTGTAAGGGTGTGTTTCTATTAGTTGACTTGTGTGTGATCCTGTGGGGAGTCCTCCTGAAGGGTGAAAGAGCAGTCTGGTGCAGTTGGCCTTGGTCACTGAAACCGGGCTGGGCACCCCGGGAGGCCAGGTCCAAGGCAATGTCCCTGGCTCTGACCTTTGCTGCTTCTTCCCATCCGGACAAGTTCAGTAAGGCCCATGGACAGCACCCAGGCCTCAGCAGAGAAAATTCAGCATATGCTGTGGGCCACAGACTTCCCTTGGGTGTGAGATGATGGCCCAGGAAGCAAGTAGCTCTGTGTTTTTTAAAATGAACAACCTACTTCTACTTCCCTTCAACCCCCTTGCTATACTCCCCTCTTGGTCTGCTTGCCCCGTTCTTTGTTTTCACCTGGCGGCTTTTCTGCTGTTCATCTCTAGCTTTCAGGATCACTCACACTCTCTGAGCCCCAGACTGAGGTGTGCCCAAGGGGGTAAAGTCCAGCAACACCGGGTCTGTCTCTGATGGTCTCTGGGCTCTGGCAGGCAAGCACTGCCCCTGCTAGCCTTCTAGGGGAGGAGGCTGCAGCCCCCTACTCCACCCCGGATGTGGGCACCACTCACCAGCAACCACATGCTCAGACATTAGAAAAAAGGCTCTGGGGTGGGTCTTCAGGGGAAAACCAAGCCCAGAGGCCGAAATGCCTGTGAAGGGAAGGTCCAGACCATTCATTCCCTAGCCTCTTCTCTTCCCTACCCATCTTGTAATTGGTGTGGGAGAAATTCTTGACAGGTGCAGCCTGAACACTGCATGCCCAACTCTCTGTGAGCTCTAGGACCATTTTCTTTTGAGATGGAGTCTCGCTCTTTCACCCAGGCGAGAGTGCAGTGGCTTGGATCTCAGCTCACTGCAACCTCTGCCTCCCGGGTCCAAGCGATTCTCTCACCTCAGCCTCCTGAGTAGCTGGGACTGGTGTGTGCCACCATGCCTGGCTAATTTTTGTAGTTTTAGTAGAAACGGGGTTTCACCATGATGGCCAGGCTGGTCTCGAGCTCCTGACCTCAAGTGATCTCCCCGCCTCGGCCTCCCAAATTGCTGGGATTACAGATGTGAGCCACTGCCCCCGGCCTCTAAGACCATTTTCCAAATCCTTCCTGGGGATCTCCGTGTGCCAGAGGGACCCCAAGTGAGGGTGACCTTATGTCCCAGTTTGCCCAAAATAGTCCTGGTTTATGGCCCAGGTTAATTCTCATAGTGCCCCTTTCACTCTCAGAAACATCCTGGTTTAGATGATAAATTATTTCATGACTCTACCTCAAACCAACATCAAACTGAACACATACGCACATGCGCCTCTCTGCTCTTGGCAGTTAAGGGGACAGTGTCCATATGGTCCCTAAGCAGAGAAACCCCAGGCTTATCTTTGACTCTTCTTTGTGAGACCTATGATGCTACAATTACCTCCTGAATACATCCTCTCCTTTCTGTTCCCACTGCTCATGATCTATTTCAGACACAAATAATTACAACCTACTGTGGGGTCTCCCTGGCTTGAGTCTCTCCCTTCTCCACAGTTCTGCCAGTGATCTTTTCAAAACACAGATTAATGCCTCCTGACTCCCCATGACCTATAGATTGAAATCCAAATCCCTTCATGATTCATCCTGCTTCATCTCCTGTCCCCACCTTCCTACCCTAGGCTCTGGGAGACTGCTTGTCCCCTGAAAAGCCCACATTCCTACTCATTTCAGTATACTTGTTCCCTTCACTCCCTCCTCCGAGTCTGACCCTTTCTTCTCTTTTCTGCTGCTCTTATTTGACTTTCAGCTCATTCCTGGGACTGATCTCAAGTGTCATCTCCTAGAAGGCCTTTTCTGATTTAGCTTTCCCATCAAAAATAATCACTCCCCCTCCACTAAACCCTAAGAGGGCTTGGCTTTTAACATTTACTACAATTTGGACTCCCGGCATGTCGGCCATTGCACATTCTGCTTACGTAACCATCTCTCCTGCCTATGCAATAAACTGCTAAGGCCAAGAATGGCATCTCTCGCAGTGCCTGAAACAGTGCCTGCTTCATGGAGGAGTTCATTGTTAACAATTCTGAATCGAACAAAATTGATAATCCACCTCAAATTTTCCACACCAGGTTGCCCGGCACATCAGCCACTCATTCCTGGGGACACTGGCGACAGACTCAGAGGGCACTGTGACATCAGTTCCACCACAATATCTTGTGGAAGGGATATCTGCTAAGAAGAATTCAGATGTAATTGGCTGCATGCCTCCTTCAGGAGGAAGAGCAAGCATTCCCTCCCCCATCCTCTCCTCCTGAGGGCCCACCGCCCACTCAGGGTCAGACTTCATTTCCCCTCTTCTTTAGGAATCCTCCCCTTACTCTCAGTTTCTCATTTCACAAAGGATCTTGCTGCCTCCAAGCTCCTGACTCATAATTTAGGACAACTAATCTGGTGTTTCATTAGGTGTCATCTTTTGAACTGAGCTTACATCTGCGTCTGGCTTAATAGATAGCTTTTTTAGGCTGGGAGAAGACAGGGAAGAGGCAGATGTGAATCCCAGGCTTGGCCCCTGTCCAGCAGGATGATCTGACTACACCCCTTCCTAGATGCCTTAAAACCCTTCCACTCCGCTTCATGAGGACCTGTTTGGGTCAGAGAAGCCACTCACAGGGTGAAGACACAAGCCCCACATTTCAGGATGCTAACAACGGTTTGAGTGCCCAGGGCGGGCTCCCCGACCCACCCAGATCTGCTGTGTCCCGGCAGTAGACTCTTTCCTAGGGAACAGGTGGATTTGGGGTGGGGCGTGCCTTAGGCCCCATACTCATAAAATCCCCTGTCTTCTCCCCTCTAAAACAGAGAAAACAGCAGCCGGTGGGTGCAGGTGGGAAAGGGTGAGGTGGAGGCTGAGAAGAGATTAGGGCTCTCTGGCACCCACCACCTCTTGCAACATGACCCTGAGACAGTGGGGCAAGTATCCCGATTTCACGAACAAAGAAACTGAGCAACTAATACAGGAATGGGCCACGCTCCTACTGGGAGGCGGGGCAGGTCTCCCAGCCCTGAGGACTTTTCCTCCCAAGACTTAGTTGTGAAGCCCCTTTTGCCTATCCCAGCCCTTACCCCTCGGGTCAGCCCCAAATCGGAGGCCACCATCTCTCCCACAGGAGCCTGCCCCTCCCACCCCATCCCCTCCTCCCTCCTGTCTTTCCTGCCCACCCATTTGCTCGAGCTGGGGTGGCAGGAAGGGAGGTGCACGACACGGGCATGAAGAGCAAACCCCCTCCTGCTCAGAGCTGCTGCCGCCTGAGCCCAGGGCTGCACCCAGCGCAGGCCTCGTGGCCAGGCCATGGACCCCACAGAGCCCTGGAGTCCCAGCCCGGGGTCAGGGGCCTGGGACTACTCGGGGTTGGACGGCCTGGAGGAGCTGGAGCTGTGTCCGGCCGGGGACCTGCCCTACGGCTACGTCTACATCCCTGCACTCTACCTGGCGGCCTTCGCCATGGGCCTGCTGGGCAACGCCTTTGTGGTGTGGCTGCTGGCCGGGCGGCGCGGCCCACGGCGGCTAGTGGACACCTTCGTGCTGCACTTGGCGGCCGCTGACCTGGGCTTAGTGCTCACACTGCCGCTGTGGGCCGCGGCGGCGGCGCTAGGCGGCCGCTGGCCGTTCGGCGAGGGCCTCTGCAAGCTCAGCAGCTTCGCGCTGGCGGGCACGCGCTGCGCGGGCGCACTGCTGCTGGCTGGCATGAGCATGGACCGCTACCTGGCCGTGGTGAAGCTGCTCGAGGCGCGGCCCTTGCGCACCCCGCGCTGCGCGCTGGCCTCGTGCTGCGGCGTCTGGGCCGTGGCGCTGCTGGCTGGCCTGCCCTCCCTGGTCTACCGGGGGCTGCAACCCCTGCCTGGGGGCCACGGCAGCCAGTGCGGGGAGGAGCCCTCCCACACCTTCCAGGGCCTCAGCTTGCTGCTGCTGCTGCTGACCTTCGTGTTGCCCCTGGTCGTCACCCTCTTCTGCTACTGCCGCATCTCGCGCCGCCTGCGCCGGCCGCCGCACGTGGGTCGGGTCCGGAGGAACTCGCTGCGCATCATCTTCGCCATCGAGAGCACGTTCGTGGGCTCCTGGCTGCCCTTCAGCGCCCTGCGGGCCGTCTTCCACCTGGCGCGTCTGGGGGCGCTGCCGCTGCCGTGCCCCCTGCTGCTGGCGCTGCGCTGGGGCCTCACCATCGCCACCTGCCTGGCCTTCGTCAACAGCTGCGCCAACCCGCTCATCTACCTCCTGCTGGACCGCTCATTCCGAGCCCGGGCGCTGGACGCGGCCTGCGGGCGCACCGGCCGCCTGGCGCGAAGGATCAGCTCGGCCTCCTCGCTCTCCAGGGACGACAGTTCCGTGTTCCGTTGCCGGGCCCAGGCCGCGAACACTGCCTCGGCCCCCTGGTAGCTGCCCCGGGCCGCTGGAGGTGGCCGACAGCGGAGCACCGAGAGGAGGGGAGAAGTCCCGGGAGGGGACCCAGATGCGCCTGTTCTGGCGGCAGCAAGCTGCTCCGGCCGGCATCGCATTGCCTCGCGCGCTGCCTGGACTCCCAGGGTCTCCTCCATCAGCTTCCCCGGAACCTCAGAGCAATTGAACTCCCCTAAACCAGGCTCCTGAGACTAGCTGTTCCCTGTCAGCCTGCAGGGTACAAGATAAGTGCTATGAGATGGAGCAGACAGCAACTCGGAGACCCGCAGATTCACCAAGAAGACAGAAGGGAAGGGGATTTCCTTCTCTGCCTCATTGGGAAGAGCACTGACCAGAAATCGAACCCAGACCCCTAAATGCCATTCTGGTTTCTGGCTGTGCTTTCTCCCGTCTCCCACAATAGCTTTTGCTTTCAGAGAAATACCTTCTCCAAGTCAGGCCCTCTGCCCTTCTCACTCACAAAACCCTGGTGTTGCATCTGGTGACACTTCTCCCCCTACGAAGCGGTAGGACTCACCTGGAAGTTGTTCTGGTCTTTCCCTCTCAACAGAAGGTCCTGAAATCGCTCACCAGGCGTTTCTTAAGGTCTGCACTACTCAGCCAGGAACCTCAAAATCTTCTCTGTGAATTCATCTTTCTCAATAAACAGACACTCCTGCTAGCCCTGTCTTCACAATCGTCTTTGCTTGCGCAGTGGGAGTGAAATGCGTATCAGGAGGCGGGTCGCACACTGGGTGAGACAAAACTCAACACAGTAGTTGAGGTTGATCTCAGGATGATGAGGATTTGGGGTGGTGTCTGGGAGCATGAATGCTGGCTGCACTCTGCAGGTGCAGTAATCCCATAGGAGGAAGCAAATCATTTATTCTTATTATTTTTAAGGACATTTCACATTTTGAAAGCTACAGAAAGAAAATATATTTATATAAGGGCATCTGCCAGCCGGGTGTCACTTCTGAGAGAAGATGTGTCATTTTGGATTTTCAAATATATATCAGGCCTTTTTTTCTTTTTTTCTATCTTTTTTCAGACCTTCCAGTATGAACTGTGGGGATTAGCCATTTTCTGACTCTGTCATTTCTCCTCTGAGGTTTCTGTAGGGTTTGGAAATTCACTGTTTATACTTTTGATTTAAGAGGATTTGGCCTAAAGACATTTCAGTCGGTGTACATCCTAGCCAGATCCTCACAGGCCAGTCTGGATGTTGCAAGCTCTGTGGGAAAGGGTGGGTGTGCACGCAGATAAGCACCTCAGTGCTAGGTTGGGTCTGAAGCCTGGCATTCTGTCGCAGGCTATCCATCCCATCTCCCCATCAAATACCCCTGTATTCTCTTCAGCATTTGGAGTTGCTGGATTAGAGCAGATTGAACATCGGGTCTCCTAGATCAGCCTGCCAAAAAGTGCATTTCTGCATGTTCCTCCCATATACTCCAAGAGAGGCAAGCCTTGCAGCCTGTGAGGTCACCTCTGCCAGCAGGACACATTTCAGGCACTTTGGTGTTTGAGAGCTCGGTTAAGTCTTGGCACTTCTTATCCTCACTATTGCTCTCTGAGGCAAGAAATTATTTTTTCATGGGGCTGAGACCCCAGGATTTTCAGGGCAGGGAAGCTGACTCTGATCTGGGTTTGTGTGTAACAAGATCTCAGAATAGAGGAGGCACTTTTCCAGGCTATTGGGACTGAGTCCCCACCTCCACCCCTGCCAGGTTGCTGCTTCTGACTTACTGACTAGCTGAGTTCCCTGAAAACAGACGGGAAGAAAGAAGGCTTCTCCATGCCCTGGTGGGTTTTTGGCTCCCCTCTTGCAGTAGCTATTGAAACTCAACATTCCCCCTGCAGTGGAACTCTGTGCGGGAGAGACAGTTTCGCCCTTTGTTTGAGTAGATCACGGAATTGATCTACCATGTGTCCTTTGGAAATGTTCCCTTCAATACAGACAAAAATGAAAGAGGATCAGTGAGCTCCCATCTCCCACTGGGGAAGATGAGGCTCAGATTCAGCAAGGAACTGGTTAAACGAGCATTCCCGCATATGTGGCTGGTGGGAGTAGATTCCTTTAGAAAGCAATTGTCAATCTTTATCAAGAGCTTTAGAACTTTTCACATCCTATTTCTTTAAAATGTTTATACCCTTCGACCCTGTAGTTTTGCTTCTGCCATTCTCTTCAAATGCAACAGTACTAAATCTAAATTTTAACGTTTCTGCACTGATTTATAGAAGTTTTTTTGTTTTGTTTTTGTTTGTTGTTTTTTGAGACAGGGTCTTGCTCTATCACCCAGGCTGGAGTGCAGTGGCGCTATCTCAGCTCACTGCAACCTCTACCTCCTGGGTTCAAGCGATTCTCCTGTCTCAGTCTCCCAAGTTGCTGGGAATACAGGCATGCACCACCACGCCCAGCTAATTTTTTGTATTTTTAGTAGAGACAGGGTTTCACCTTGCTAGCCAGAATGGTCTTGATCTCCTGACCTCGTGATCTGCCCACCTTGGCCTCCCAAAGTTCTAGGACTCCGGGCGTGAGGCACTGCACCCGGTGGCTGAGTTATAGAAGTTTTTAAAGAGTTAAACCTCAAAAGAAACCACTTTAAATGTCCAACAATAGTGTAATGTCTTTATTAAGGTGAATGACTATTATGCAAATTTAAGATGTTCTTTAAAGAGAGATTGAAAAATGCTGACGATAACTTAAAAGGGAAAAAAAGGTAAAACTGTATCTGTTAAACGCCTCCACACACTTCAAGTCTGGAGGATGTAAAATGGTTAGCACTGGTTTTGTTAAGTAAAACAACATGCTTCATAGTCCTTCTGACAAAAAATGATCTTTTGCTCTTTTATTTCTCATAGCTCAAGTTTTGAACATTATATCTCTTTTCTCTAGGTGCTAACGGAATGCTGTCGATTTATTTCTTTGCTTCTTGCTTGTCTCTCCTGTCAGAATGCGAGCTCCATGCATGCAGACAGTTTTGTCTGTTGGTTCAAGGCTGTGTTCCCAGTGCCTGGAACAGTGCCTGCACACCTCAGGCACTCACTAACTACCTATTGAATGAATGATCATCAGGACCATGTCATGATATGAAATAATGTCATAGAATGTGAAGAGTAAAAGGAAGGCTATTGCATTTTATGTATAACAGCTATGTTTTATTAAAGGACTTGCAAAAAAAGGCTAGGAAGAAATACAATAATCATTAAGGATAATGATTGTGTTAGAGTAAGTGGATTTTAGATCCTTTTTTCCCCTCCATTTCTTTACTTTTAAATTTTCTATGAACTTTTTTTTTTTTTGAGACAGAGTCTTCTCGTGCAATCATAGCTCACTGCAGCCTCAACCTCCTGGCCTCAGCCTCCCCCCACCTTGGCCTCCCAAGGTTTGCTAGAATTACAGGCATGAACTACTGTGCCTGGGTTTATAAGCTCCTTCCTTCCTTCCTTCCTTCCTTCCTTCCTTCCTTCCTTCCTTCCTTCCTTTCTTTTTTTTGAGACAGAGTCTCACTCTGTCACCCAGGCTGAAGTACAATGATGGGATCTCGACTCACTGCAGCCTCCGACTCCTGGGTTCAAACAATTCTCCTGCTCCAGCCTCCCAAGTAGCCTGGATTAGAGGTGCTCACCAATTTTTTTATATTTTTAGGAGAGACGGGGTTTCCCCATGTTGGCCAGGCTGGTCTTGAACTCCTGACCTCAGGTGATCCACCCGCCTCAGCCTCCCAAAGTGCTGGGATTACAGGCGTGAGCCACCATGCCTGGCCCCCTATAAACTTCTTTTAAAGGGCAGTTAACAAATAGCAGCAAGCTACCAAAGCACTGGCGCTCAGTAACAAGCGGCCTGTCCTTGGCTACCTCGCTTAACCTTCTTGAGCCTCACTTTCTTCATCTAAAGGATGAAGATGATAATATCTCCTCAGGCTGCCTCACAGATCAAAGGAAATAATCTTGAAAGTACTTTGTAAGCTGTGGTGTTTTAGACAAGCATACTGCAGGAGTTTTAGACAATATACCCTCAAGATTAGCTTGTTCCAGGCCAAGCTACCCCCTCCCCATCCTTGTAGCCATGGAGAGGAGACGGGTGGAGCCGCTCTGGGTTTTCAAAAGGTCAGCATCTGGACTAAGGCTGGGCGCACTGGCTGTGTGTGATTCTGATTTGCTTCTTGTGACTAATTCTGGGCTTCCTCCTCACCTCTGTCAACCCCATGGGTGCTTTCTTGGGGGCACAGTGTGGGAACCCAGGGCACTTGGGTTGATGAGTGATTTGGGGAGTTCAGCCGAATGGCAGAGCTCCAAGGGTGGCATTTGGTGATATGACTCAGTCCCATACCACTCTGAAGGCAGAGTGAGGACTCTGGACATTTGTGAGTACGTCTTGCTTGTTAGAACTTACTGGGTCTAACTCCCTGTCCTACCTGGGCTGAGTGGCCACAAGACGTACTTATCCCATCACCCCTAGCCTCAGTCAAAAGGGGAAAATGATGAAAAGACTGGGAAATGCTTGGGATATGAGAGGAAAGGAGAAAGCAATGATGTGAAATCACCCTTCTTCTTCATCATCATGAAATCAAAAAGTATTTATTGAGTGGGTAATTACATCTTCAATGAAAGTGGGTACTGCCTGAGATTCATATTTACATCCATCACAGGGCTTTAAGGCCAGAAGCTCATTTTGTCCATTCTGAGAATGAAGAGACTGAGGGCCAGAGATGGGAGTCGCTTAAGGTAATAATCACCACTTATACCTGTGTAGCATATTGCAATTTTTTTTTTTTTTTTTGAGACAGAGTCTCTCTATGTCGTCCAGGCTGAAGTGCAGTGACACGATCTCAGCTCACTGCAACCTCTACCTCCTGGGTTCAAGTGATTCACCTGCCTCAGCCTTCCAAGTAGCTGGGATTATAGGCACATGCCACCATGTCCAGCTAATTTTTGTATTTTCAGTAGAGAAGGGGTTTTACCATGTTGGCCAGGTTGGTCTCAAACTCCTGAGCTCAAGTGATCCACCTGCCTCGGTTTCCCAAAGTGTTGGGATTACAGGCATGGGCCACCACACCCAGTTGCAAGTTTTTTAAAAGCAGGCTGGCCATGGTAGCTCTCATCTGTAATCCTAGCACTTTGGGAGGCTGAGGTGGGAAGATTGCTTGAGCCCAGCAGTTGGAGACTGGTCTGGGCATCATAGTGAGACCCTATCTCTAAAAAAATTAAAAATGGCCGGGTGCAGTGGCTCATGCCTGTAATCCCAGCACATTGGGAGGCCAAGGTGGGCAGATCACCTGAGGCCAAAAGGATGAGATCAGCCTGGCCAACATGGTGAAACCCTGACTCTACTAAAAATACAAAAAAACTAGCCGGGCCTGGTGTCGGGTGCCTGTAATCACAGCTACTTTGGGAGGCTGAGGCAGGAGAATTGCTTGAGGCGGGGAGGCAGAGGCTGCAGTGAGCTGAGATCACACCACTACACTCCAGCCTGAGCAACAAGAGCAAAACTTTGCAAACTAGAAAAAAAAAAAAAAAGAAGGAGGATTCGGCGCGGTGAGCTCAAGCCTGTAATCCCAGGACACTTTTGGAGGCGAGACGGATGCGGATCACGGAGCCGGGTCAGGAGTTCCGAGACCATCCGCCTAAAGACAGTAAAAACCCGTCTGCTGACTGTAAAAAATACAAAAAAACAAAAAAATAGCCCGCG